TGCCGTCCAGCAGGCGGCAAAGCCGGGGGACCGCTCCCTGCCCTGAGGGTCCGGGGTGGGTGGAGGTCACCCTCATCCCTCATCCCTCATCCGGGGTGGGATTTGTGACAGCCCGAGGCTCCCAGGTCCTGCGTGGGCTCAGTCCGCGGGTCGCTGATCTCTAATGGAGGTTGTGATGTGGTTAATTTGTCTCTCCAAACCCCATCGGTCACCCTCATCCCTCATCCCTCATCCGGGGTGGGATTTGTGACAGCCCGAGGCTCCCAGGTCCTGCGTGGGCTCAGTCCGCGGGTCGCTGATCTCTAATGGAGGTTGTGATGTGGTTAATTTGTCTCTCCAAACCCCATCTCTGAGAGGTCCTCCTGTCTCCGGGGAAGCAAGCCCGTGTCGGATCCTCTGAAGGTGGAGTCACTGCGGCCATTAGTGACATCGCACGGCTTTGTTTGAAAAAGCTTCTGTAGAGAAAGAAACGTAGCTGCCACCTGAGACAAAGCAGAGCCTTTTGTAAGGCTTTCAGGCTGAGCACCCCTGGCGCGCAATGACTCTCTGCGACGTGAACATCAAAGTCAGGTTCCTGAAGGAGAACAGTCAAACGCAACCACACCGGAATCACAGATCGGTAGGGGGTGGAATGGACATCTGGAGATCGTCTAGTCCAACCCCCCTGCTAGAGCAGGATCCCCTCAAGCAGATTACACAGGAACATGTCCAGACGGGATTTGAATGTGCCCAGGGATGGAGTCATTATTATAAGACTATAAACCCTGTTGTTTATTAGGCGATTGATTAATGTGAGGTTTTAAAAGTCTCAGCTGGACAGTAGTGTGTCAAAATTGGTCCTAATATTAAAAGCCTACACCTCAGGGTTACAAAACCCTGTTTTCTAGTCACAGCTAAGCTGAAACTTGGAATTTATTTGAAAGAGAGGCTTATTAAACCACTTTCAAGGTCTCATTGTAGTTGTCTTTGTGTTTCAGGCACAACACCATCCATTTTGTATGAAACAAGAATCCCTTCAATATGAGCTGGGCTGTGGAGGAGTGGAAAGAAGGCCTCTCTCCCAGAGTCCTTCAGAAGATTCATGAGCTGGAAAGTCAACTAGACAGGCTCAAAAAGGAGTGCCAGCAAAGGCAATTCCAGTTAGAGTCTTTGGAGGCAGCTCTGCGAAAACAGAAACAGAAGGTAACATGGGTGCTGTGGTGATTTCCCTAAAATGCCACTCTGTGGCCAACACAATAGTAAAGATTTATTATCTGATTCTTGTTAGGGGATGGTTTAGTGTGTTGGTTGTTTTTTTTTCTTCCCACTGACTGATTGGAAAGGTGTCATAGATGTATATACTGCTTATCTTCATCATACTTCATATTCATTATATTCTCCCTTTAGTTCTCATTGACTGCTAAGAGAATTCCTGCCTCCTTTCAGTCTTTGGCATCCTTGTCCACCTCCAGGTGTTTATATTTACTTTGCCGTTTTATTCTTGGCTTCCCTGTATGATTAGGAAAATAACTTACTTTATTTTTATGCTTATTAATAATCTTGATAATGACTAGGCCATTTATAAAACAAAGATGCACAGTTGACAGCCTGTTACTGTTTCACCTTGTCTGCATACGCCTGTTTGTCTCATGTTTTACTTAGTTTATGTAGCTCTCCCAATTTCTTCTTGTTAAGACTTTATTTGGGGATGTGGGTTTTGGTTTTCTTTCTCTCTCTCTTTTTTTCTCTCTTTTTCTTTTTTTTTTTTTTTCTTTTTTTTTTCTTCTTTTTTAAGTGCTATAGTTTTATATAATAATTGGTTCTACCCTGCCAACCTGTTGGTCAGGATCCTGCCGTGCTTCAGATCAGGAGTGATCCATTTGGTTGAGTTCTGTTTTGTAATGTTTGAACCCAACTCTGAGGCACTTTACAAAGGTTGCCTTTTATTCTCTCTAGGCTGTTGCAGTTTGCTGGCAAAACTTAGGCTTCTTAGTTTTCTGGAGTTTCTCCCTTTGAGTTTCCAGGTACTTGTCTCAACCATTCAGCTACTGCTTTGCTCCCCAAACAAGAAGGGATGTACTCAAAGAGTTGTGCTTCAGAATTCTTGGAAGCAGCAGCTAATACTCAGTACTTTCAGTCAGAAGAATAACATTGAGCAAAGATGTAGCCTGACCTTCAGAAGCTGGAGGGGAGAAAGACATCTCTACTGTCAGGCTCCATTTCTAATCATCACCGTGCATTCTCTGTCTAGTGGGCTCAGGTATTCTGGTTGCTGATAGCCTGGAAAGAGAAGTATGATGATCAGTGAAGAATGTGACTAGTGTGGATTATTAGTATTTAAAAAGTTGATGAAACTTTTATGTGCTTATTTCTAGTCGATATAAATATAATAAATATAATAATAATAAATATATAAATATATAATAAAATAAATATATAATATAAATAATATAAATCGTTAATGTGGCTTTGTTCACACCCAAGAATGCTTAAACAATGGGTATATATGAGGTTTTCAGTGCTGTCAGGGTTTTGAAATGCTCACAAGAAAATAACTATATGCAAACTTTGTGTTATTAAGATAATAACTACACAGAAGTGTAGAGAGGACTTGAGACATTTTCTAAATTATCTATTTTCCAACTAGGTTGAACATGAAAAAAATGAAGCTGCAATGCTAAAAAGAGAGAACCAGAGCTTGATGGAATTGTGTGATAGTCTTGAGAAAGCAAAGCAGAAAATTTCACATGATCTTCAAGTAAAAGAATCTCAAGTTAACATTCAGTCAGGGCAGCTGAATTCCAGCAAGAAAGACATTGAAAGACTGGAGCAAGAACTGAAAAGGTAAGGACTTGCTGCACATCTCTAACCCATGTGCAATAGTTATTTTCTCCTGTTTTGTTAATTTAGTGCATCCCTTCTGGTCTAGTTTCCTCCACCTTCTCATACTTTGTTCAGATTTTGTGATGAAAGTATCAAAACATTGGCTACATGCATATATGGACTTCTACATACATTTGTGTGCCACTCGAAGCAGTAGATATAATTCCTGTTTAATTTTGAGAAATTCTGCAGCGTCATGTGAAAGGGGATCCATTCATTCTGTGATGTATTAAAAAAAAACCCAAACAACAAACACTACAGCTAGCACAATGATTCATTTGCAAAAATAACTTGCAAAGACCTTGGAGTTGCAAGGAAAGTACACAGAGAATTCAGTCTGTAAGATCCAGTTTAGCAATTAAATATCACAGCTGGAAGAAGGAGGCACGAACATCTCTTGGAGTGGAAGAGGAAGCTGCCAAAAGCAAAGGTGGTGTAACTGAATCATGGAATCCAGTTGCTTTAGTAAAGAGGTGCCAATTCAAGCAACTCCACTTGCAAACATTGTTGCAACTGAAACAGTTTGTGTGCACCTTCTGTAGATGTGGTATGAAATGCATACGACAAAAGAATCTGTAACAAACACATCTAAAAATCCTTCATTTGAGGGTGCTACACAAAAGAAACAGTTGCCCATAGTGGAAGGAATGTTGTCATCTGTTAAGCTTGCTCTCATAGTAGAGGCACCCTCCATTCTTGAATAAAAGTGTTCTGAAACTTTGTGTGCATCAATAAGGCTGAGTATCCTGCCTGTGCAATAAACTTGAAATTTCCCCTCATATATGTCCTAGCAGAAGCAAATAAAGGGAAACCGTGTCAATCTTTCTGTTTTTAAGCCCTTCTGCCTCCCTACTCCTGCTTTGGGAAAACTAAGGATATTTGACATATTTGAGTACTGTAAGGATATTCTAAATGTCAACAAATTTATTGCATGTAGAAAAACCAGCTTTAAGGAGCTGCTGAGGCCATCAAAGAGGTGTGCCTGCTCATAGCATGGAGGTTGGAACCTGATGATCTTTAAGGTCCCTTCTGACCTTCACCATTCTAGGATTCTATGGTTCTATGATTCACCGCATCACAGCCACGGACAATCCACTGGGAGAGGAATTCTTGGTGGTGTGCTTTAAAAGGGAGGAGAAATGGAAAGGCAAGTTGTGGAGTTACTGATGTGACGGGCTACAGCCTGGAATCATTGTCTTATCAAGCTGTGCTTGCTGGGCAGGATGAAACTTGCTGCATAACCTACAAACTACTTACCTGCTTTCAGTGGATGAGCTTGTGACTCCTCATGCTCACAAAAATTACTGGAATGGGTAGTTTGCTGTGGTGTTATAGCTAGCAAATTAAATGGTGCAGACAAAAAATATACAGTCAGGTGGAGGGTATCCCTTTCCATTTTCATGAGGTATGCAGCTTCTCAAAATGTGCAGCCTCAGAACATAGAATAAAAGCAGTATGTTTCCTACCATAAGGATGCTTATTAAAGACTAAGAGTTTTATGTTATCAGTATTTACATTGATTTGGGTGTTTTTAGCTGAACTAGAGATTCACACAGTGAGATCTTAAGCAGTTCTAACTGATTTTCTTCTACTTTGGGTTTGTTTGGCTTTGTTTTTTAGCTTTTACTTGTGTAATTGATTTAATATGTTGAAACTAAATAAAATAGATTCTTTGTATTTCTGTGCATAGTACCCAAAAGATTTCAGTGGAGGTATCTTGATTTGATCTTTAAATTAAGGTCTTAGAACAGTATAATTTATTTGTATCTTTCAGGCTTTTAAAAATAGATAATTAACTTTTTAGTTTCTGTTACTAATTTCTACTTGTACTTCTTTCCAAAACAGATACAAATGTGAGCTTGAGAGAAGCCAGCAAACATTGATTACAGGAGACTTATCGTTCAGTGGCACCCCACAGAAAAGTTTTACTGCTTCTTTGCCAGTGCAAAGTTATAATGGTAAATTAAGTTTTCTTCATCTAGAACAGATATTTAACTGTCAGTTTACTTGGAACATGGAGGAGTTTTTTGAACATTACACTTGTTCTGAGTTGCCTAGTTCCTTAGCTTATTATTAGAGCATCTAAATAGGTTCCAAGTTTGAAAATTACTAGTGCAGGCTGAAACCTTACTGCAAATATGACATCTTTTGAGCACTATGTTGATGGACATGGCATAGGAATATCCATCAACAAACTGCAGCAATTTTTGAATGCCTGGTCCTAGTGTTAGCTCTTCATGTAGTGAAGAGCAAATTTTCTTCATTTGTGTAGGACAGGTGCTTTAATTAAAGTTCAGTCAACAGTCATGTATTATTTCTTACCAATTTTTTTTTTTTTTAAGTTAGACTATTATTGTGCATGATAATCTGCACAATTAATGCACTGTCTCCACTTTTAAGCATCACTTCCATATTCAAATTATCGACATCAAATAGATATAAAATATTTGAATGAACTGGAAAAGTTTCTTTAAGGAAAAAAAAGGTAAGGAATTTTCTTTAGCTGGAGAACGGATCTGTAGCCAGATACACTTATACTGTCCATGCTGAAAAGCTTTGATGGGTTCAATATTATCCATGCTGTTTACCTTTTTCTTTGCTGTGAACAAATGTGAGCAAATTTTGGAATCTTTGGGAAATCTGAGATACTTTCTTACTCTTGTTCCTTTTAATTTCTTTATACATCTCTGCAAAGGATTAC